TAATCAAGCCTATTGTTAGGCTATGGCCCTCTTTTGCATGTGACAAAACAGAGCTAATAAAGCCTATTTTTAGGCGATGGTCCTCTATTGCAAGTGACTAAATAGAGCTAATAAAGCCAATTTTAGGCGATGGTCCTCTATTGCAAGTGACTAAATAGAGCTAATCAAGCCTATTGTTAGGCGATGGTCCTCTTTTGCATGTGACTAAATAGAGCTAATCAAGCCTATTTTTAGGTGATGGCCCTCTGTGTAATGTGACTAAACAGAGCTAATCAAGCCTATTGTTAGGCGATGGTCCTCTTTTGCATGTGACTAACCTGTTTGTCAATGTGGAGGCAGTGCTTATAAGGCTGAGTTCACCTGAAACTCATCAGACTGAAGAAGTCTCTTGGAGGAGAGACGAAACGTTTCACTAAAGAAAAACCCATCCAGAGGACCTACTTATTTTTTCTTTTTGAATTTTTTCTACCTGGATTACTAAGATGCATCAGGACATCACATTTTCTACTTGTATTTCTTCGTTTTACATGAGTTCTTGTTATTGTTTCAGTAATAAACACGATTGTGGAGCCTGGTGGAGGTCTTCAGGCTGCAGCCACCGGGACATCGACTCTCAGCCAAACTCGGCCATCGTCCAAGGAGAAGAAACCCACCACCAAGCCCAGAACCTCCAACGCCAACGAAAGCACCAAGCGACCGCCCCGTGGGCCCGACGGGTCTCACTACATGTCCTGAGCAGGCCACCGTAGCACCTTTGGATGGGAGACTGAACCTTCACTCCGCCGGCAGCTTTAGATTACCTCAGGTGCGGAGAGGCGGAGCTTAAACCCTGATTGAATTCTAATTCCTTTGAAAAATAGGATTGTTGATGCGATTTTTGGGGGTTTTACAGCACAAACTTGATGAAAATCTACATTTTCTGGTTGCTAGTGTCCCACAATGCATTGCACTCTGGATTTTTGGGTTCTCTAAATGAAAAGATTCAACTTAAAGGGTTATTCTGACTATTTTGAAGTGAAGAAAAGCTGTAAAGATTATTCAAATATAATCATTTAAGTCCTAAAAGTCCTTTTTTTCTCTGCATTGTTGGACCAAACTGAGCTTCAGCAGCACAATCCAAAACCTCACGTCTTACTCTGGCGTTCCTCACAGCTGTGTCCTCGGTCCCGGCCGGTTCCGTGGTCGTCAGAACTTGCTCTATTTGTAGAGAAGCTGCCAGTGGTGTGGACGCACTGAAGCTGTGCAGAACAAACATCCCATCTGTGTCCAGTCATTCAGCCAGTAGGAGCTAAAGCATCGTGATTGGCCACAGTGTATCTTTGTAGAGCTGCTTCCATGTCGCACTACCGAAACCTAGCTACGAAAAAACAAGCAGCTGAAGTATTATACAGAAGTATATTAATAATTTTGTGCTTTGATGATTTTTTGTGTTGCGTTTGAACAGATGATAGACCGTGTCACTCTTAGCTTTCTGCGAGTATTTATGGGGCAGAACGGTTTTTTTCTTCGTGATGTTCCACCGAATGTTCCCGAGTTTACACTCGGGTTCTGTTTCGTCTCACTGTGGTTTTACTTTGAAGCTGAATGTCGGACGGTTTCTGTGAAGTAACTGTTTATCTTGGACAAATCCACACGACGCTTTTTTAACCTCGATGAAAGAAACAGATAAAGTTGTTGAAAATTAAATGATTAGTCAGAAACATTCGTTTTGGTGAATTCCTGCTGGGCCTTTTAGTGTCATCCCGTTGACAGTGAAGTCTAAAGTTTGGCATCTTTTGCTAATATTCCAAGACATTTTAAATCTCTGATTCCTCCCCTGAACAGTTTCTCCTGATCAAAACCAACACATTTCTGACCCTGAAGCCGGTCCTTAAATCCCCAGTTTCATGTAGAAATCTTATTTACAGAACCATTTTAGAGAATCCCCATATGAAGAACGTATTTAGAGCTTTACTTTGTTGGAGAGAGGTGGAACATGAAGTGAAATCCTGTAGGAGGTGTGTGTTTTGTGAGTCTGACTGCTGCTGTAGTTGCTGTGTGTTGAGCTGAAGTTTGTGTTTTTGTGTTAAAGCAGCTGACGCTTCTCTGAGGAGAGCTGGAAGAAGAAAACAGAAAGATGCTCAACTAGCCTAGCTTTGCATAAAAACTGAGGATGAGTTTCATTTCGCTCCATCAGTGAAGTCTGAGGTTTATCATAGTCTTTAAATGTATCACCTTTGGGCTAATGAGGATCTGTGGACAGTTTGTTTCACTGTTCTCATCATTTGATCTAAAATGACGACAAAATATCAACTAGTTTACAAAAGAATTCACGTTTTTCTGATTTTCTCACCAACATAAACCAAACCTCGGAGGTTAAACTCCATTACAAACATGTATTATCTTTATTGTTTGCTGCTGAAACCAGAACTCCTTCATGTTTTTTTTATTATTGTCTTCAGTAAATATCATAGAACATAGTGCCAGGCTAGGCTAACAGAGATCACTGTATCTTAAAAAAAATGCAAATGAACTGCTGGAAATAATATATATGTCTAAAAAAATGTAATATTAGACCTTTATTTTGTAAAGTGCATGTTTCCTGTAGCTTGATGCAGGTGAAATTTCGAAGTTAGATCACCAAATGTGCACTTTTTCATTTGATAAACACCTTGTAAATATGGGTGGAGCTTTTGTTTATGATTTATAAAATCCTTTTGTTTCCTGCAGCCATTGAGAATGTATTAATTTATCACCTGCACAGACCTGACTGGCTTTAGCTATGACGATGTAACTGCTGCTGCAAAACAGGTGACTGATCATTTGGGCTACATGCATTTTGTGTTTTGTTCCGAAGCATGCACCTGTGAACAAATGAGCTGAACCAAGCAAACGTTTCGTCTTTTTTACGCTTTTTATTAGATGGCGGTCTCGCAGGCGGAATAATCACTTATTTAT